CCTGGGGACTCTTGGAGGGCAGGTAGAAGCTTTCTATTTCCTGCCCCCGAGCCGCCAGACCTGTGGTGTGTCCTCAGCTCAGCTTAGTGGATTACTTTGCTAAGGCTGTTGTCCCAGTTCCAGAGGTGACAAGTCTGGGACCAAGATGCTGGCAGAGTTGGTTCCTTTTGAGGGCTCTGAAGGAGGCCCTGTCCCAGGCCTCTTCCTTGGCTCGTAGGTAGGTGGCTGTCCTCATGTTCACATGGCTTTCTTCCTGTGCACACATCTGTGTCCAGATTTCTCCTTCCTACAGGGGTCTTAGTCACCTGGACTAGGCCCACCCTAATGACCCCATTATAAGTTGCATACCTCTATAAAGACCCTGTCTCCAAGTAAGATGCTGTCCACAGGTCCTGGAGGTGAGGGCTCCAACATATGAATCTGGGGTGGGCACAGTTCAGCCGTAACGCTTAGTGATGGCAGGTCACATCTGTGGGCTCCACCGGTCATCCTCAGCTGAGGTCAGGCCAGAAGACAGGTTGGGGAGAAGGAGCAGAGAGGGAAGGGAGAGCAGAGGGGGAAGACAAACCTTTGGTGGAGGGGTGGTTTTGCCCTGGCCCCTTAGACTTTATCCACCCCTGACCTCTGCATGGTGGCTGCAGAGCAGCTGCAGGTGGGTGTGAAGTGTCTCCCGAGGGGACTGCCCTCACTGGCCCAGCCCCGAGACAATGCCTCAGTGTCAAGTGTTCCTGGGAGCAGAGGGTGGCCGGTCCTTGTGGAGCAGTGCCGGTCCTGTCCTGGGGCGCTCCCAGTGCAGGTGTGCCCTTGCGAAGGGACAGCGTTCTCCTACGGATGTGGCTAAAGTGATGGCTTCCCCCAGATGAAGGCTCCCCAAGGGCGAGGTGGACACAGGGCGGGCCTGGCTCTGACAGGGTTGTGAGGAACCCCCACCGTCTATGTGGTGTCTGCTTGTCTCTCAGGCATTTGGTCGTGTACTCGCCCAGTGCTGGGGAGGAGCCTGAGCTCTGCTATCCTGGGCTGCAGGCTCCTGTCCCCTCTGTGTCCAGCTGACGGTCTTTCTATTGCTGGGGATGCTTCCTTTTTTTGTTACAGCGGCCGCTCAGGCAGGCTGCTGTGGCCTCCCGACACCCCCGCAACTCTTCAAGGAAACAAACAGCACTCCCACCCCCACCCCAAATAAAATGCATCTCCAGTTCTGGAAGGAATAAATGGAGTAGGGCCACCGGGGATGCAGGGATGTATTTCTGACGCTCGCCCGGATTCACCCTGCAGCTCTATTCATGTCTGTTCTCTCTAGGTTTGCATGGTGTGGATAATGGGATTTTAATATTTGACAAGGTTCGGATACCAAGGGACAACCTGTTGGATAAGTGAGTACTTCCTCCTAACTCAGGGTACTGTGTCATGGCTTTCTTGTCTCCCACCCGGCCAGCTCTTGGTGTCACGGGCAGGTGGCACATTGTAACCTGACAACTCACTGGAAGTGTAGATGAGCTGATTGGAAAAATTTAAATGATCCAAGCAAGATGCTGTTACCCAGACACAATATGTGTTGCGCTTTAACGCGTAAGTCTTTAGGCTGTTCTCCCTGAAGATGTATCTAAAGAAAGAAATATGTTTGGTTTTTACGGAGCCACTTATATACTCTATTCTTTATAACTTGTAATCTGTTTAGCACAATATGTACAAGTCTCTATGAAACAGTAAGTACACACACGCGTGGTCATTTTTAACGTTGCCACAACAGACCGTTAAATAACTACGTAATCAATCCCTTATTGTTGGGTATTTAGGTTGTTTCCTTCCTTCCTTCCTTCCTTCCTTCCTTCCTTCCTTCCTTCCTTCCTTTCTTTCTTTCTGTTACTGGATGCTATGCCTTCCTTCCTTCCTTCCTTCTTTCCTTCCTTCCTTTTTTTTTTTCCCTATCATAAACCAGTGGGTGTAACTGGCTCTGCAGGTGGCAGGAGATAAGGCACCACCTTTTAGCCTGGAAGGCTGCTATAACTAGCACTGCTGGGTGGATAAATGTCACAGGTGCTCAGTATCACCTCTTAGATCCCTCAGTGCGGTCCAAGTGGCTAAACAATGAAGTGATGGTGGCTTCTACAGGTACAGTCCAGGGACTCACAATGCTTTTCACGGAGGCTCAGAAATGCCAACGACTTCACTTTTCTCAGCAGCGTTTCGTGTGTCCAGTGGAAATCGTGAGCCAGAGTCCTCTGCAGTCTGTGAAAAGGTCTCCAATCAGGCTGGCTCCTTGCTTTCCTATAGACTTCCCTTTAATGTCTCACCTTTTTTTGTTTCCTGTAAGTTCTTGCTGGCAGGTAAAGTCATAGGTGCCAAAAGTTTAAGAAAAATGTGGGGGAAACAAACTTAAAAAGGACCAAATTCTATTTGTTAGCTTTCCCCCAGGTGGACTGGTAGGAAATAAAGTGGAAACATTGAAAGCTGCTTTGCAGCTGTGCTGGTGGGTGGTGAAGCCCTGAGGCCCCCTGGGAGCTGCCCCGTGGCAGCATGAGGGGGGACCAGCCCCTTCCCTAGGCGCCTTCATGGGCCCTGACCACTGATGGCATCATTCCACTCGGGGATGGGGAGGAGGCAGGAGCACCGAGATATGGAGCCTCCTATGTCTGGCCCATCCTTTAGGGTCTCAGTGGCCTGGACTGTCCTGCGCCAGAAGCCGGACCCACTGGCTTAGCATCTATCCAGTGCACTAGAGAGTAAAAAGAAGATTCAACCAGAAAGAAAAACTACAGAGAGCCACATGGTCTGTAGGAGACATGGGCATACCTAGAATATTCTTTGAGAAGCCAGACTTGATTTTGAAGCCATGCCATTGGCATTGAAACTGTTTCCCCTGCCCTGTGCCTCCCCACTTCCCACCCCACCACTCACACACAGAACAGCAGCAGAAACATAGCTGTTTGGAGGGGAGAAGTCCCACTCTGGGGAGCCTGCTTCATTATTTGATCAAAAATAGGACAGTGAAGAGATGTAGATTTTCAGTGAAATCCCTATGAAAATCCCAGCTGTCTTTACTTGTGGAAATTGAGAAAGTGGTCTTAAAATTCATATGGAAATACAAGATATCCAGAACAGCCAAAACAATCTCAATAAAGGAAAACACAGCAGGAGGACCCACGCTTCCAATCTGTAAACGTACTACAAATCTACAGTAATCAAGACAGTGTGGTATCACATACAGATATATATATATGTGTCATATATATAGTCTAGATAAGGATATATATAAAGAAAGAGAGAGAAAGAGGAGATATATATATATATATATGTATATATGTATATCTGTCCTATTATATGTATAGTCTAGAAATAAACTCTTATATTTATGTTCACTTAATACTCAACAAGAGTGACAAGGCAATTTAATGGGGAGAGAACAGTCTTTTCAACAAATGGTACGGGGACAACTGGATGTCCACATGCAAAAGAATGAAGCTGGGCTTTTGCCGCATACCATATATAGAAATGAACTCAAACTGGATCACGGATCTAAATGTAATTTATTATTATATGCGATACCAAAAGCACAAGCAACCAAAGAAAATAGATAAATTAGACTTCGTCAAAATTAAAAAACTTTTGTGCTTCAAGGGATGTTATGAATAACGTGAAAAGATAATCTATAGAATGGGAGAAAATATTTGTAAATCATATATATCATAAAAGCATCTAGTATCCACGATATAAAAAGAACTATTACAGTTTAACAATAAAAAAGACAAATGATCCAATTAAAAATGGGTGAAAATCTGAATAGACATTTCTCTAAAGAAGACCAACAAATGGCCGATAAGCACAAGAAAAGACGCTAAACTTCATTGTCATTAGGGAAATGCCAGTCAAAATCACAATGAAAGACCACTTCATACCCACCCTTGTGGCTGTAACATGAGAGTCAGGGGAGATGGCAACCTCGGCGAGGATGTGGGGACATCGGAACGGCCGCACATTGCCGGTGGGATGTAAGATGGTCCTGGCTACTTGGAAAGTTCCTGGCAGTTCCTCAGAAATTTGATGTTTTTGTATGACTCAGTGATTTTATTCCTGGTATGTATGATGACATCATTCACCTGAGAATCGAAAATAGACATCCACCCAAAAAACTGTACACTGATGTTCATAGAATAATTATCCATAATAGCCAAAAAAGTGGAAATGATCCAAATATCCATTACATTTCGTTTATCCATTCATTCATTGGTTTACGGAAACCAATGAATGAATGGATAAACGAAATGTAATGAGTCCGTACAATGGACCGTTACTCGGCCATGAAAATAAAGGAGACGTCAGCACAGCCTTCTCCACACATGGACTCGAGAACAGCGCTCTCTGAGGGAAGCCAGACACTGAAGCCCCATGGCATGTGATTCCATGAATGGGAGACGTCCAGAACAGACAGGTCCACAGGGACAGAGTAGCTGCAGGGCCAGGGCTGGGAGGTATGGCACACAGCTTCCTTCTGGGGTGATGCAACGTCTGGAGCTAGATAGCGGTGATGGTTGCACAGCTTGTGAAGATACTGAAAACCATTGAACTATACACTTTGAAAGGGGGATTTTTATGGTGTGTGAATTACAGCTCAACAATGAAGAAGTGATTGACGGGCAGGCAGTCTTCACACTCAGGCTCTGGTGTCAGTTTGATGGCTGCACTCCTCATGCCTGTCTTTGTCAGGGGCCCCTGCCAAGTCCCAGCCCGGGAGTGGCAGAATGCCTGCTTTCCCCTTTGTCAGTGCCTCCTGGGAGGACAGTTCCCTTGTCCCCACCCTGCTATCCCCTAGGGGAGGTAACAGGATGTGGAGGCCCAGGAGCCCTCTCGGGTATGGAGGTGGGAGCTGCCCGACCTCGTCATGGGTGGTACCATGATTTCCTTTGTTGACCAGCCCCTCCCCCACACAGGTTCGGTTCACTGGCTCCAGGTGGGCAGTACTACTCCCCTATTGAGGATAAGAGTGCAAGATTCAACGCGATACTGGCAGCACTGACCCCTTCGAGATTGGCGGTGACTTTCCAAGCTATGGGTGCCATGAAGGTAGGGAACGCTGATTTAATTTACTTGGCTGTTCATTCTCTGTGTGTCCCGGGGCAGGTAGCAATTCCAGGAGCCGAGCCTCCCCAGCCACAGATGATGTAACGTGGCTATAGGTGGGGTAGAGACTAGGGGGGCCTGTTGGCTGCCCAC